GTAGAAACCAGTCCGCTGGTCGGGCGGATCAACATTACAGTTCAGGCTATCTCACTTTAAACGCTAAAATATGATTAGGTACTCCGACGTTGTCAACTTTCCAGCCGCCGGTATAGGATTAAATTTACACAAACCCCTGACGACGGTTTTGGACTGTCGCAAAATTATCCTTTATAACATAGCGCCATATATTTATCACAACGTATATCGGTTAGGTTAAAGGTAATAAAAAAAAAAAAACTCATAAATTTGCTTATCAACAAAATAATTGACCCGACTGTTAAGGCTTTTGATCGGGATTATTAGTCGAGGTACCCTCGACCCTTGTTATCCTGATTTAGCACGTACCTTACTCGAAAGACTTACTGGAAAATTATTGGTAAAATGACATAGTTTAAAATCCGATTTCGTTACTGGTGCCTCGCAAGAAGGACATCTATTGCCTATTTTGTGGTTTTCACCGATGACAAAATTATTCCATTTGTGAGAGCATTTTACACTAAAAATACAATACTTTTGTCTCTTACCGATAGGCTAAATGAAATTCTTGGGTAAACTCATTGGAAAGTCAATTGAATATGCTCCTTTCCTTCTTTCTTAGTAGATCTGTCCGTTATTGTGCTATGTTCATTATTCATTAATTCCATACATACCATAATATACCTTTGATGTACGAGGCAGATTAAAGATAGGCCCAAAGGTGACCACTGACTAACCAGTACGTTGAAACCATTAAAATTTTTGCTAAGATTATGATTAAAAATAATTATTGTTTTGACAGAAACAGATATGAATGCATTCATTTCACACACTCATTATTAGGTACGTAGGGTGCGCGTGTAAGTGTATGGTTACTGTTGACTTGTTAATTGGGAACGTATAAAGTTTGAGACAAACTTTCAATACCTACTTGAGAGACTACTGTGCAAGTAACAGTTATACATATACCAGTCAAAAACAAAAATAGAAACAAGTCGGGAGAGCGTAATAATAGCGTAATCTTTGCTAGTGTTTATAGTAGTTTCGATTGAGTGGATGGCGGAAAGTCAGTTCCTTCGGTAGCTAATTGAAAATCGCTGACCGTAAATCACAAAATTAAACATTAATACAAAGTACCCCCCTATCTTATATATTGCTCCTGAATAAACAGTTAAAGTATTAATTATTTCCGATTAAATCACGTGTTTAAAGAAGTCAGTAAAATTGCGATTACACACAAATCAATTATTATTCTCTGTATTTTGTTTTTGTATACATATAAAATATCGTCTATTTATTTATTTTTAATTAATTGACAATATAATTTTTATTTTTTTTAAAGATACATATTAATTTATATTTTTTTACAATTTTCGAAATGTTAAAACAAATCATTTTATAACAGTTTGCACATTTATTTCAAATTATTACATTCGTACACAAATATTTATAATTTTTAAAGGAAATTACGTTTTGAATATTTTTACGTGAGCATCAATCGACTTGAAGCTGCTATCGAGTTATTAGTTCTTAATTTAATAAAAAAAATCATTTTTCAGCTAAGTCTGCGACCACGGAAGAGCATTTTCATGTCTTTGAATCTATAGGAGTCTATCTCCTACCCCTATCTCTTATCCTATCTCCAAGCTAATTCCCACCGCAACCCCAACCACATCCCTCATCTCTAATCTCTTATCAGTTACGCTTTTGTAAGGAACGCTTTTTTCGGTTATGTGCCAGAGCTAAGACATGAAAATGTCAAAAATAGTCGATAGTCACAAAAGTGTAGTTATAAAACATAGAAGACGTGTTGCATTTTTGAAATAAAGATTGTTTTGAAATGTCGTGTAAGACGATAACGAAATGATGTCCGGGCAAAAACATACTCTACGTCACATTTTACCCTACAATGTAAAAATGTTCCATTTATAGCTGCTAGGCTATAGGTCAGAGTAATAATGTTATATTATATGTATTGTCATATATTGGACAAAGACTTTTTCACTTAAACGCCAGTCTAATTAATAATCTGTATAGTAACGCTATACCAAGCAATCCGAGACGACGTCTGAAGAGACAATGGTGTCACGACTTATTAGTAGAATAACTAAAATAAAAAATTGAATTTTCAAACTTAAGTGTCACTAATAGGTGACTTCTTTGTCAAATGTATCATATGCTTTGTATTTTATATCACATATACTTATTGTGCTCTTATTGTACCGATTGTATATTTTTTAAATAAAAAAAAATAAAAAACTAGCTGAGCTGTAATACTAAAAAGTATAAAGGAACCAATAATGATAAGAGAGGAGAATTTTCAAAGTTTTTACTGCCGTTAATAATTATGTGTATTTTACGGAGATAATTGTACAAGTTTTTCAATATAGTTTGACGAAGAAAGTCACGAGGGCGTACTTTGGATTAAAACACCTCGTAAAACGAGTTTTATTATTATTTAGATATTATTCGTCTTGTGATAATAAAAATACATAAAATGTTATTTTACAGTGTTGATAGAACACTTGATGAAGTGAAGTTTTTGTTCTCGGCTCTGTCGAAGTAACTCGGGATAGCACAGAAGAGGGAGGACGTGTAGGGTAAGTATAAAAGTGAATATATTTTTTTTATTGTTATTTTCTATCGAGCTACTCTTAAGTATTTGAATATTTTTGACGGCAAAAGGAAAAAATAAACAACTGTTTTTGTATAACAAAATATTCTTGAACAATCACACTTATAATTGTCGATGGCATTTTTTGGCACACAAAAAATAACTAAGGCTTTCCACTTTTCTTAACAATAAGTATAAAAATGATTAAACAATTCGAATTGTAGAAATGTTTCTCCGTATCCTCTATATCCGCTGGTTCTTTTAATGTATTTTTTTAGCTAAATAATATTTAGTGCTACAATTTAAGAGTACATTTTTTACATGGCTTGACGGCCTATTGTGTTGTTGTAAAATGTTTTGGTTTATATTGTGAAATCAAAAGGTATAAACATGATTTTTAAGAAAGTCGTTGGTATTTATTAGTTGATTAAAACCACTTGTAAATCCATTATTTTTAACTTTATGTCAACAAAAACTTGACTAATTTGATAAAGGTATCTTTAGAATATACATTTACAATAGTCAATCTTAATTCTAAAGTATTTTCGTATTTAAAATAAAATATTTCCACTTTACCAATGTAGAGGAAGCATACTTTTTATCTTTCGATTATCACGATAAAATAACTGAGAATTATAAAAACAATAATTTAAATAAAAAATACAAATTAGCCTCTTATTTGTATCTATAGAGTTATTATTTATGCATATCGCGCCGAGTAAGAAAATAGGTATGAGCAATGGATTATTACTATAAAGACAATCTGTTACAATTTTGTGTAAAGAAGTAGAAATTCATATTTATCCATGAAAGTTGTTTTTATTTTATTTGATTACTTATATTGCATATTGCATTGTTGTAGGACAATCTATAGTTTTTTTTTGCGTTCATTATTCATATGGGCTAATCAAGAAAAGGATATGTGGGCGCACAATATATTAATCAATAAACCCATTATTTATTGTTTAGTTGTTATTTTTGTGACTTGTGGTTATGTGTTTAATTGTCAATTGTAATCGTACGATTACTTTTGGCGTCACCACAATATCTGAACCAACTAAGTTAGCCATATGCTAACCATATGTTAGATCGACAATTCAGCCATTGTGTAAGTACAACTACACAACACAATTTAATGTATTGCGAAACCATTATAAAATGAAAAATACTTGTGTCATTCGAAAATGTATAAAAAATATGTGTGTGATTAATTTTTGTAATGAAACTCTTTTAATAGTTACATTTTATTATGAATTTTCAATTTTGCGAAGGTAAGGTTTATTTATAAGTTATTAATATCGACTTTTTATAAAAAAAAAAAATAAATAAATATATTGGCTATCGAATAAACTTTGCGTACGACATTTATTTCTTAGTAAATAAAAAAAACGAATATAGTAACTAAAAATGCGCTATATTTAAATAATATACTGCCTTATTTTGGGTAAATTATTTTAATACTAAGAAAATGTTTACAAATTGGAATAAAATCCCCGAAGTTAAAACGTGTACTTACTTAACATGTAATTTTGTTATTTTTTCGTATTTTTTAAATTGGCTTTTACCGTCCTATAATTTTGTATTAAAAACTGATATTTTGAGAGATTGGATCATGTAAAAAGTGTAAAGTTTGTTCTTAAACTTTTAAATCTCAACGATGAGATAAGATATTAACATGTTTTTAAGGACATATTTTTTAAAATATGTCACTCGAATTGATAGAAATAGAAGTATAATATGTATTTGTATAATAATATACCTATTTGTTCTTCAGTTGTTCATACTAATAGTTTTCGGTAAAAATCGAAACAATTGAACTTTTATATAGTATTATTACTAAAATATATAATCTGTTATGTTATTGAATACTTTAAAGATGATTGCGATGGAAGCATTAAATAGTTAAATTGCGTCTTCTTTAATTAGACTTAGTATTAAAAGTGTACCCATTTCAGATTTATAGATGAGTAATGGATAAAATATAAGATATAAAGTTCTAAAGATAAATAATATAAGACCGAATCGATTATTTTTTTTGAGATCGAATTCATGGTTATTAGTTATTTACTTATATAAAAATATAAACACACCGATTTGTTGAAAACAAAATGTATTGTACTAACATTATAAAATTATGAGATATGACCCGCATAAATTCCACTAAGAAGGCTACTGCGGCTCTACTCGGTTTGCTGACCAACACTTGACAGTTGTATAGTAATCCAGCAGTTTATTATCAAAGGAATCTATAAATACGTGTATGGAATAAATGCGTTTCGATTGGGTTCACTATAATACAATTATTATTTTATACGGGTCGCAATAATTTGCGTGACGAGTATCGATAAAAAAAAATATCTTAAACGGGTTATCATCCATACAGTAAAAAAAAAAAAAATTGAATTACCTTAAATAGCTTTGTGCTAAGCCATTTCACACTCTAGTGTCTCAGAGAATATCGTTGTTCGTTCTTGTCGTCCTAGTAACAGCCATCGACCTGGCATCTCCGTTGGCGAATCTTCCTTGCATGTTCACCTCGGGCCTCCAAGGGATTATTACTTTTCTGAATGCTTTCCGGAAATTCTCAGACAGAAACGCATATAATATTGGATTCAGACACGAATTGGCGTAAGCTAGACAATGGCTGACAATCTGCACCACAACACTGATGGCGGTGATTTCGTAGTAATTTATGCTTTTTAAAACCAAAATCACCTAGAAAAAAAAAACATGAATTGTCACACAAATTCCATAGTAAATAGGTATTTAACATTTTGTTATTGTAAGTATGTATATTTTTAACTTTTTCAACTTTTACCCCTCCCCCCCCCTCTACTCTCTCCAAAGTACCAACTAGTTAAAATTAATGATCTATAGAATTGCTACTACTCGAAGAAATTGGTCAAGTATTTAAAAAGTTACAGTGGGTACAGAGTACAGACAGAAAAAGTGCTCATATCCAGTAGTAAAACCAACAGTCTCTCGGCTCTGTATCCAAGCTAAAATATGTAACCCCCGAGATTTGATTTATTACATTTATCTCGTGTGCGATAATAAACTCCTGTAACGTTTTTATGAGTTTACTTTGAAGTTGAAAAATATAATACAGTGCTATTGGGATAGTTTAAAAAGTAGGTCAACGGGTATTCAAAATGTCATACGAAAATTGAGAACTCAATAGCTTTATTAGTAAATTATTTTGCAACGCAGCATTTGTAGCCCATTTGAGTTCGTGTATACGGGCATGTTTTGAATTTTGACTGTTGTGCATGTTCTGTGGAAAACTGTCAATTCTAATGTCATATTGGATAGGTGGCATTAAATGTAATTGATTTTATTTAGTCGACAATTTTTTTAAACTGCAGTTATCAACAAAGTACAAAGTGAAGCGTTAGTGAAAAAACATGGTGTTTACATTTTTTTTTTTTGTGTAATACAACTAAAACCTTTTTCATTTGTAAATAAGCAGGCGGAATTTTTTTGTCTTCCTTTAGAGTAAACTTACACAGAGTACTTATCGGGCCAAAACATATCTATCAACAAAGGGTAAAGTTCGAACATTTTAATGGCATTGTGCAGACATCACTATATATGGTGAATTGTTCGTTTTAAATAATTATAATAAAAAAAATCTCAATGCGGTCATTGTCCTTTATATTTTATACTACCACAAGCCGTGTCGACCACTTCCATTATGGTGAATAGTAAAACAAATACTATTATACTCCGCCAGCACTGTGCAGTAATATGTTCTTTTTGTATAATGCTTTATGATATTCCATTTCAAATTAGTGGGAACAGTCGTTGGACAATTTTTTTCCATTCAGCTTTTTATTAAAATAGAATATTAATGTAACGATAGAGAGCAACATAAGTTTTATAACTTGAAAAGTATTATATTTAATTGGATTTTTATTTTAACTTTGTCTCAATTTATACGTTGTTTTCAAATTCGGGAAAACGTTGGCTTTCAATTAAATTTGCTCAGCTCTGTTGTAAACATACATATGTAGACAGTTGTAATATATAGTTAGTTTATGTGACTTTTAATAGTACATTTCGCTGGAAAAAAATCAAGGAAAATTGAATTTCTAAGATTTCTAGTAGAGATTTCACTTTTATATTGTCTGTGTATGATCTCAGTATAATATTATTTACACACTCTTGTGTCTACAATTGTGTTATTACATTTTCTCGGAGAACTTGGTATCTTATGAATTGGGTATAAAACTTGTATAATATATGACTACAAGTTATATGTAGATATTTTACAATTAATTAATATTAAAAATATTTTGGAAATAGTTTAACTTATATTAATATATTTTTGTAACTACTTCATTCTTAAAAAAATATATTTTTTCAAATGGTTCACATCATTCCATATTTTTGTTTTATTACAAACAGTTATCGTGAGTGTTTAACTAAAAACAAGAATTTTCCAAATTAAATTTTTTTTTTTTTATAATAATATTTTTTCTAAATACCAATTATTTTCAAAGTGCCACAAGTTCAATACATTTATGTTTAATCCAAACAGAATAAACACACAATAAAAACTAAATAGTATGTCCATGAAACACCGTTTAGAATTTTGTTTTCTCTGCTTGAAAATACAAAAAATCACTTAGAGCCATTGGATTGAATACCCACAATATATTGTGCTTTACTATTGTTGCAAGAGTAGAAATGGTTGAACTTATTATATTAGGATTCGCTCATTTGTTACTGTTTTGGCCAATTTTGAACATATATGTAGATTGAACATAACAAATAGTAACAGAATATGACCATTCATGTGTTAAGACAAGAAATATAATATAGACTGAATTGGGTTCTTGATTTGATAAAGCCGAAACTTATATGAAGTTATATAAAGGAATGCATGTAAGTTGAACCCGTTGACCTTTTGGCTTGCTATTGAATTGGAAACTATTTTGGTGTAGTATATTGTAGTCCTTTCCTTGAGACTGAAACGATATTTTTAAACAAATTTGTTTGCGTTATTCGTGATTGTCTGACTAAAATAGCAAGTTTGCTACAGATGGCCGAAGCAAACTCTGGTTTAATATTGAGTTATTTTAAAATTATTATGTTGATTCTACATAGAATTATCCATATTTTTTTTAATAATATAAGTTTTTACTTTAGTCTTACTGATTCGGAAGAATGCAGGTTTATCTTTTAATTAGTTTGTATCCTAAAACATGATTTTTGATAAAAATGTGAGCTACTCAATTAAATTATTTAAAAAATACATATTTTTATCACTAAGCATACTGTAAAAATATGTTAGGTAAAATCATTACTCGTAGGTCAATACATTTGAATGCATTGGAGCACATTGGAAGTATATAGTTAGCTTTCCTGTAAAATTGTATACAATTTACTTGTATCCTTTCGGTTCTCACCACTTCATATTATAATAGTGACATGAATTATGATTGATAAGAGACGACAAGCTAGTAAAAGATCATTGTAGTTTAATGTAATTTATCTGTTTATATTTATCGATTTAATCAAATATGTGTCTGTTCGCGTGTGACTTTTAAACTCGTATAGATCGTTTATATTTTTTATGTTTAAGTATATCTATGGGGTGTATTCGCTACAGCAAGAACATTTGTTCAATGGAGCTACTTAAATATGAGCGTGACTGTAAATAGGATATACTAAAGAACCATTGCTGCCGTATGTTTTATTGTGCTTTCTTGGGCAACAATGCGCAGTGTAAAATTAACGCGAGACTCGTAAAGTTCTCGCACTTAAAATATTCTTAAGACTTGCAATGGTGCAGCAGGATAGCGGTACCTTGGTTTACGATGCCGCCGCCATCCCGCAGGAACAGGAGGAATAGACACGGACTCCGTGGCCTGTGTCCATATAATATTATAGGGACGGTCGACCGGCGGCATTATTGAACAATTTTATTGGGTACATATTATATAGACAAAAATAAATAATAATTCGGGGGAAAAAGGGCGCAGGTTAGGTTAATGTCGTTCTATCCCGACTAGAAAAGGGTTTGCAATGTTTGCTTACCGAGGTAGATCCGATGATTTGGGGTCCGCTATAAGTAAGTTTTGTGAACAAAAACTACAAAAGAAGTCGAACAAAATAGGGTTGTTTGAAATGAAGGTTTTTTTGGTAATTTCAAAACAGACCGTATGACTTCAAAACAAATACTAAGAGATACCAACCCGCTGTATTCGCTTCTGTTTGGATATGATGGTTTAATTGTCTATTTAAATATAATTTTTCGTCATTTTGTTTTAACATTTTATAAAAAAAAATTAATGTTTCTAATTTTGTTCACATTCATTTTTGTTGTCGTTTCCTAATTTTGATTATCCGAGAACATTGGTCCTTATTATAAATAATTTACAAAAAAAATGTTTTTTTATAGACTATCCTTTGTGTCATTTATCGATGTAATATTAAAATGCTTTTGAACCAATCGTATCATTCATTTTTTATTCATAAAAAATTCTATACAACTTTATAGTTTCCAGAAAGGTTTGCATATTATCTTTACTATTTGTCAACTCTCCTGGGATAATACATGACCAAACTTTATCTACCTTCTTAATATAAGAAAAACTTTCATTCGTCTGACTTTTTTCTTTTTTTTCACTCTAAGTATAGAATGACTTTAAGCTTAAACCAACGACTGTTGTGCGTGCATAGCGGTTTTTTAAATTTTATATTCTAAACGAGAATTAAAATGCAAAATAATATAATGACGGTTCGCTGCCGATGAATATTAAAATGTCATTGTAGAGATAAGCAAGAAAAGAGACAAATCAATTAAGACGTGCACTGAATATGATCCATAAGCTTGACGAACAAAAAAGTGTAATGGTTAAAATAAAAATATTATGTTGAATTATAGAGTGAAGGTGATTAACCAACCTCACTCGTGTAAGACAAAGTGAAATTCAGAAAGAAATTAGTTGTATATAATTAGTAATGGACAAATCAACATTTTAATTTAAATATTTTAAATTGAAGACAATCTGTTAAGATATTTAGTTATTTCACTCTATTTTGACGTCTAATACAGATTTTTATTAAACCGTAACAATAAGCAAGGCAGCAAAAAAAAAAAAAAATAAGTGGTTTTTATTCAGTAGTTAAAAGAGTATAATTTTATAAAAAGCGTTCAAGTCGAAAAACATTTTACGCCTCTTGCACTTGACAGTTATCTTGCATACTCTAACTCAATTATTACCGTTGATAGTAAGAGGTAATTTTAAAGTTCTTAGGCAATTATATAGTTGGTTTCTGGGAAATTATCGCAGTGAAATGTTTATTACAGTGGTGCAAAAATTACAAAGTAGACAATTAACAACTTAAATGCGGGAAAAAAGTATTTAGTTGGTCCAACTATGTATATTTATCTGTGAAATTATTAAGTTAAATACAATATTTTAAAGAAGAGAAGTGTTCAATAATCACTGTCGATAATGATAATTCACAGCTGATACATGATTGAACTTTAAAAGCACGCCATTTATTTCACTATTTTATTTAAATATACTGTACAAGTAATAAATAAGGGAAGATACCGTAATCCGAAAAGTACTAAAAACTTGAGAGAATAAAGTGCTAAAGTATATCGAAAGGCGCTAAAACGGCTGAATATTTCTGAAAACGCGATAGAAAACTTTTACTAAATTATAACTCATTTTATGGTTTTCGGTTTTTTTTTGTTC